GCCCTCTAGATTAACAAACTATCCCTCCAGTATCATATAAACTCCGGGACACTAAAAGTCCTTGAGTTTCGAGGACGAATCCTCATAGTAAGCAGTTCTCAGAGAGGCCGCCCGGGAAGCCTTCCTATGATTCAAAAGCAACAAAGCTGTTTGTTATATTACCTCTATGGAACAACAGTCATAATTTATTCCTTCGGGTTTCCAGGTAGAGCAGATTTCTATAGTTTGGTCTGAGATCTCAAAACTGGAAACACTTCTTTCATTTTTTTCTCTCATTCCTCCTTCTGGTTAGAAAGGATTTCAGCTGCAACACAAGGCAAGGGCAGTGTTGTGGGAAGGCAAACAAGGCTGCAATGGAGACACAGCAAGGGCAGCCAATAATCTGTGTCCTTATCCTAAGAAATCTACCCAAGGAGGACCCGACAGGCCAGCAAGATAAACATCAACCCTGTGGGGCATGCATCTTCCCTTCCACCTCCTTACTCTCTATCCCTGGGAAGACCATATGCTTCCTGGTTGATGAAAACAAGGATGCCCCGCTACCTCTTTTCCCCCATGGCTCAGTAGGATCGAAGAAAAATCAACAGAATCATGGGTGGGTTGCTTTCAGGCCCACTAGCAGTCTCTCTTGTTGCCAAAGTAATTTGAATAAATGTGTTCTGCATGTTTGAGCAGAGTCAAAAATCACAAAACTATTCCAAAGAGCTTTTCAAAACTCAACTAGTAACAAAATGTTATTTCCACATTGACAGGTCACAACATATTATTATTTAAATACCCAAACAATGGCCGGACATTGCAATGCAAAGAAAATGCAGGCATGGATATATGCACGCACATTCTTAGATGATTCCAGCTCCTGGAGTCTGAATTTCTCTGGCATCACAGAATCCAAAAGTCCAGATAACTAAGATTTTTCACTTGTTGTTGTATACATATAGCTTCAGATCAGGTAGAAAATTCTGGTGCATCTTATTTGCTATTATATGTCTGGCCAACAATATGACATAAAAAACTAGTATAATTGGCTATGTGGCATTGTAATGTAGACAGAATAAACTAAATTGAATAAACTCCCAACTGAATCTTTTAGACTCAATCAACCATAATCAAAGTGCATATTAGGATTCCTACTAGCACATATTCAGACTGATGAATTAATAAAACAAATCCCTCTCCCTCTACCTGACAAAAAGGCAAGAATTACAATAAACAATAACTGAATATTGTTACTGGCTTGCAATTTACTTAGAGATGAGATGAAAGCAACAAGATAAAGTCAAAACTGGGAGAAATCATAGCAAATAGATACAAGTAAGAATGGAAGTACACAGAAAAGTAATTTGTCCCAAATAGAGAATGAAGATACATAATGGGAGTGGAAAAGTTGCCATATTGTAGTCAGTTCTTGATTAGTCATATGTGATTTACCAATTTTGGGTATTACCTTCCTTTCAGGCAGGCTTTGAACATCTGAGTCATCTCTTTCCATCTTTAGTTCATATGTGTCCAGAAACCCCTAAAATCATGTTTACCACTAATCTATGTCAAACTTAATTAGGACAGCAAGATTCATGGTACAGCCATTATTTACTGACCAATGGACTTCACCTCTCTAGTTTGGGACCAAATCTGGTGACACATTTCTACTCGTGGAAGAGAAGTCAGCATAGAAATTAAGCTGATGAATAAAAATACCAGTCAGCTCATCTTTGCCTGTTGTCTTTTTGCTAAGTAAAATCGATTCAGATATGTATAATCTGTCAACTCTATTAAGTGTCATTTACAGGCAAGAAAATGTACTCTCATGATAATGAAAATAGAAAAGCCATTGTCTATGATATGTAAAGGCTCAGACATAGCGTTCTTGACTTGAACAGATGGGTTCTAAACAGTAAAAGGAAAATTATAGGAATCTGTCTCATACAATGGGGATACAAATATCATTTCACAGTGAAAGTTTGAATGCCTCATCAATTCAATGGATTATAGGCTCTTCATAGGAAGAGACCTTTCTTTTTTTATTTTGCTTTTATATTTCCTTCAGCATCTAAATTTCTGCCTACATACATAACCTGGAAATTCATATTTTTTCTTAAGTTACTGTCCTAAGTTCAAATCTTGTCATACCACTTATCAGCCAAGTGGTCTTGATTTCTCTAAGCCTTAGTTTGCTTCTCTAGAAAGTGGGTATAATGATACCCACTCCTAGAGCTGTTGCAATGACCAAATAAGCTGTTCTCTGTAAAACACAAAGCACACAACTAGCAGAAAATAATCTGATGGATAAATGTATAGCTATTACCACTGTTATGTGAACTACTTGACTAAACTCACTAATTCCAGGTATGAGAAAAGTAAACCACAGAAGAAATAGAACTTTAAAGAATTGACTTTTGTAACTTGAGTTTGATCTTTAAAAAAGAAAGAAAGAAAGAAAGAAAGAAAGAAAGAAAGAAAGAAAGAAAGAAAGAAAGAAAGAAAGAAAGAAAGAAAGAAAGAAAGAAAGAATAAGGATAGGGCAACACCATATGTGACCACTACACTAACATACATTTCGCATCTTTTATTCCTTAACCCTTAGATTCTTTCTACTTAAGACCAACATTTAACATTAACAGAGCCAAATATACTTGAGAATGGAAGAAACTGATGTTCTGTGTTGCTTATAAACTGGAAAGGAGGCAAAAATGAGAGAGATTCATTCCACTGATACTACCCAACAGTACTCCAGTAGATGCTCTGAGCTCTGGGCTCAAGGGCATCTAGAAACACAATGGTTTTGTTTCAGACCTTTTTCAGCATACCGGCAACAACACAACCTTGGATCTTTCTAAAGTAATCCATTTCAGATCCACGACTTCAAAGTGGGAAGAGAAATGCAAGACTACTCAGGGACTGAGGTGTGTAGAAACAGAAAAAGGGGAAAAGGGAGCAGGACATTGAAAACAGCGTGAGAACCAAACTCCCAGTGACTTGCACTGGCTCTCAGACTTAGTTCAGACCCAGCCAGATAGAAGACTCATCATTCATTTGTTAAATCTCTTTGCTTCCTCTTTCCTCCTTGTCTTTCTCCTTGCTGTCCCAAAGAGGAATCAAACTCACCTCATCAAGCTGGCAAAGAGCTACAGGCACTTTCTAGTTGAACTTAAGAAGCTACAGCAGCTAACCCGCTGGCACTTCTGATTCACAGGAGAGCTCATTCACAGCTGCTCAGACTCTGAGCAGAGGGATTAGAACTCTAACTACTTAAAATTCCTGAGCCAGAGGAGTTTTGCAAGGTGGGGTTCTTCACAACAGCCTGCAGTCAACCATGCCCTTGCCGGCGAGGCTCTAGGGGTTCTTCGTGCCTGGGGGACAGTTATTCACCTCCAGCCTCAGAAGACTGGCCTGACCAGTCACACAGCACTTTTGAGGACAGTGGCTAAGTCTGGAATTGGAGACGTTATTTACCATTTTGGTTAGTCACTAAGTAAAGTCTTTGCCTTTCTAATGAAGTCTTTGCCTTCATTACCTGTGCAGTAGGACAGACAAGGGTCAGCTAAAAAGATTCCTGAACTATTTCACCAAAACAGCCCAGTTCTACAAATAGGTGATTACCGCACTGAGCAATAGATGCAAGTATGGTCTTTAGTGAAGTCAGGTTGAGTTCACCAGCATCTCAAGCTAATTGGCAGGCAGACCCAGGCCCCACAGCCCACCCTCCACCCCTCCCTTGCAATTTGGTCAGGTTCTATAAAAATAAGCCTTATGTATTACTCAGTTGACTCGGACTTCCTGTGTTTTTGAACATTTTGAAGGATAGCATAGCATTTACAAATAAGAGGGGCTTTTAATCTTTTATATTCCATGCCTGCTACTGGATTCACAAACTGCTGAATAAATACCTAGCCTCTCAAGCTGGCTTCTAGACAAGGGTGACAATTTGTACTTTCATTATAATATGGGCATTGCTTTTCAAGAGATTTGTGATTTCTAGTTTAAAAATGGTTTGTGGAGGATATGAGAAATGGACTTGAAGGTCAGTACATTAATTTTTCTTTTAATTTTAAATGAAAATGATGTAATTACTTGGTGACCACAAATACAAGTGAAATGGCTGCTTGTTCACCTAAAAAACTTTTCTTTTCCCTTACGAAACTGCCACTTGTCACTCTGAATAATTAAATTCAATAGAAATGATTCTGACTTGTGAGACCTCATCTCTACAATTAAAAAAAAAAAAAAAATTAGCCAGGCATGGTAGTGCACGCTGTAGTTCCAGCTACTTGGAAGGTTGAGGCGAAAGGATCACCGGAGCCCAGCAGATAGAGGCTGCGGTGGCTGGGAGCAGCCACTGCACTCCAGTCTGAGTGACAGAGTGAGACTCCAACTCAAAAAATAAAAAGAAAAAGAAATGATTCTGGATGATTGAGGATATAAGAATGATGTCTCTGTGTTCAGGTAGATCACTGAACATATAGAGTCTATATTCCAAAAAGGTTCTCCTATTTTTAGGGTTAAATTAAATGCTCACACATTTTGCTTCTTATTAGCACTGTTGTATATTAGCACCAATTGTATAACTGGCAAGAGAAGAAGGAGGTTGTGAAATTCAAATCAGGAAATGTTTTCAAGCTCTGAGCAGGGAAAAAATGAAATAAAGGCTCTCTTTAAAAAAAAAAAAGTTTAGGCTTTCTGTCTTTAGAGTAGACTATGGAGCATTGTAGATAAATTGGTTAGCCTCTTTGATAACAGTCAAAGAAGTCTTACCCACAGAGTAGATACAGAGGATTTTTTAAATGATGGTAGTATAGGTTTTAGCCTTTATCTTAGCTCAAGAAATGCATATAGAATGCACATCAGAAAGTAGGTACACCACTAAGCCCCTGGCAATACATACTTACAATCAAATAAATTAAATGAAAGCTCATTATCCAAAATGTTGACCAAATTATGTCTTATGAATTCATGGACAAAGTCAAGAGAGAGAAAGGGGAAACTAACAGTTTCACACATACCTCCATAATGGTTCACAATTCAGATTACTACCTGCATTCTTTCTCATTAAAAGAGTTGTGCTGAAATTTGGCACTGCAGTCCTAGACAACATGAAGAAATCTGTGTGCTAAATTCTTTCTAGTTTTCCTTTTCCTTTTGTTTTTGTTTTTTTTAATCAGAGAAACAAAAGGTGATATGGGTGATTTCTAAAGATTTCCTTAATTAAATCTGGTTTGATTCCCCCACTTAAGTGAAATGAGATGGTTAAGAATAAAAGTAGCTTCATTTATCAATAAACACTGAAGAATCAATGTTTTGCTTATCTGTTCAGATCAAATTTCTTGATCATATTATTCTACAAAGCTAAGTAGGTTATAAACATGTTACCATTGATGCAGTTAGTAATCATTTATTCATTTACACACATGCCAAAATCCACTATATTAACACAGGTCTGTGGGATGACTTCCTTTTCTGTAGACTATTTTGCCATTGGGGGGGGAAAAATATCTCCTGGCCCACCATATCTCAGATCGTGCATTCAGTAGCAGAGTGGAACCTGCCATGGCTGCTTCGAAGGGTTTTACCACAGAGATTCAGACATCACTGTATCATGGAAAAAGTAGTTGCTGCACATAGCAAGTGAGAAATTTCATGATGCCATTTAATACACAGCTTTACCTCATTACTTATAAAACAACTTTTAATATTCTTACTTGTATGTAAAGTTTTTCTAAAATTTTTACTTTATTATAAGATATTTCAACAGACTCTCTTGGAGGGCTTCAAGAATATTCCATGGGGCATTCTTTACTGTGGGTTTCAAATATCAGCCTGAGCTATTGGAAAAAGGCCCTGGGTTATTTTTTTGTTTTTAAAATGTTTGTATAATGGCTTCAAATGTACAAGACATGAGGGAATGAATTGTTTAAAACTTGTTAAAATCTTAACTTTGCTTTTTGCCTCCAAAAAATTAGTATGAATTGTTTTTTCCTAATTCCAAACAACCGTGAACCCAATTTACAAACATTTTTGCAATAAAAAAACAACAAATGGAAAGTTTAACATTGAATTAAGGCGATTTCAGAATTAGCAGGTGCACACTGGCAGATTTATAGGGGCCAGTGGTCTGACAGCTATGTTTTAGAACTGGAAAACATCTGCTCAAAGTAAGTAGTTTATGGTTTCCATATCAAACAGAAGAATAAATAATCACACTGATTATGAGGCTTTGGTAGATTAAAAAAAAAAAAAAAGAAATGCAATTCCTACTCTAGTGGGCTTGTATACTTCATTGCTATGTTCTACTAAAACTAAGGTGATCTAGAAATTACCATAACACATTAATATGAACTCAATGATAAAGGTAAGAGAGTATCCAAATTTTAAATGGAAAATGCATAAGCATGTGTTACGGATGAGAAAAGGCTAATTAAATATAACATTCAACTAAGCTATAAAAGGGACTTTTTTTCTTCGTGTAAGTCAGATTATATGAGCTTCCTCTACCACATCAAGTCACTAATCTAAAATAGTGGAATCCAATTCCTGGAAATACTCAAATTTAGACATGTAACAGATAATAATAGAGATACGGAGAAATTTTGTACAAACATGCAACAACCTTGGTAATGAACTCTTTTTTTTTTTCTTCTTTTAAGCCTAGTCTTTGGTCTCCTTCTGAACAATTGCATGAAGCAAGGAATTGGCTGTTATTCAGTAAATTTGGACTGTGGACACTGACCAAATTGCTTGACATTCTACCTCCACCCCTTATCCTATTTTCAGACCACATTTTCCCTCCACGGTGACTTTCTGGTTATATATTATCTGGTTTGGCCGTCTCTACTGCCCACTTCAGATAATTGCTCAACTCTCCACTTGGCTTCTTGCTGGGTAGGCTTGACCTAAGAGAATGGATGAAGAAAGAGCCAGCACTTTCCTTTGATCTCTTAGAACTCAGGATTCCATTATATAATCTACTATAAATCCTGGCAGTTGAGATTGACATCAACTTCCAAACTTGCCATAATATGACAATCCTAGATGATTCATTATGTATCCTGACATTTCTTAATTAACATGAACTCAATACTTCAGTTTGTCTGTGATAAGCAGTTTTTCTTAGTTGCCTTCTCAATATTTTTGAGGGTTTCCTTGATTAATTTTTCTTTTCTGCAATCTAAGCTTCATATGCCAAATGTTCTAACTGGCTATCTGCCTCTAAGGTTTAAGCGCACAGATGTTTCCTTGTGACCACAGCAAATACTACTCCTCTGAGAATAGGTTTGATAAATAGAATTGGCAATAAATTTAGAACTAAAGAGCTGGATAAAAAAGTCAAGTGCAGTCCATGTTCACTACACTTTTGTAAATCTACACACTTGTCTAGTGTACCCAGTGGTAGTGGATTCTAGGAATCCCATCAACAAACTAAAGCCTTAAATAATCCCCAAACTCCTTCTATGTAACAATATAAATCCCTTTCCCTACTGAACACATTACCATGGCTTCTAACAAGTAGAAAATTGGCACATGTAAATTTTACTGCTATTCCAAGTGCAGAGGGAGGAGTAAAATGGATGGAATCCAGATGGTAAGAATGAGAAGCAAGGGCCCTGCAGACTCCAAGGAGGAATAATGCTTGCACTGTTTTAAGTGACTAATACTCCACTACATTCATACTGCTTATGCAACACAAATGCCGTAATAAGCAGGAGACCTTTCAAGGTCTACTGCTTGTTTCCTTTCCTAGAAAACATATTGCTATGAGTCTTTTCCTTCACAAACTAGATTTGAAGTCCTTGTTTGCTTGATTTATGAAGACTGAGTGACCTGGAGGAATAGACCACCAAACCAACAGGAGCAGCGTTTCTTCCAGCTCTGACTGAATGTTATGATGTTACCTTCTCCCCATACTTCTCTGCTCAAAACTCAAAGCCCAGGCATTGTCCACCATGAACCCCTCAAGAGTATCACTTGAGATTGACAGGAACTGTCATCACTTGAGATTGACAGGAACTGAAATTGAGTGTGGCTTGACTTTCCTCCCAAATCCACCCCAAAAAAGGTCCCTGCCTTTTTTCTTTTTTAATTGCTGCCCTTATCTTTTATTTCCACTTAGAACAGAAAAAAAGAAGAGGAAGGGAAAAAACACACTGTTCTCCTTTCTCTCTACCCTCAGATCACAGACTTCAGCTGTCCATTCCTATAAAGGTAAAGCATCTTCGGCAACTAAAAGGGATATCACACTTTTTCTTCCCAACCAGAGCCCTAAATCAATGGAATGATATGACACATCTGTCTTTTATCCCCAGCACAAATGCCTATGGATCTGATTGTGCTTATGTTATCAGGACCGTAAGCCACCGTTCTAAATGAAGGTTGCTGATGGCGAGAACCACAGAATCATAAAATGATATAGCCATGGGGCTGTCATATAGTTCCCCTACTCCAACACCTATCCATTTTGTGAGGAAAATGAAACTTCAAAAGTCAAAGACCTGGTCAGTTCCTACCACTAAGTCCCTATTGAATAACTATAAATAAATGATAATAATCTTAACCATCTTAATCTAATAGAAATATGACTTTTTTCTTCTGAATCTATATCTTGTCCAAATAAAATAATTTCACCATGAAAATATACCAACTAAATAGCATTTATACATATGAGGTGTGCTACTTTTCTAAGTTCTGTCACTCAGTCTTCATTGTATCACTAATATAATCTTTGAATAGGTGGTTGGTAGTTGTTAAGCCCATTTTACAGTTAGGAAAACAAAGCACCAAGTTTGCAATATTTTACTAAGCATATCAGGAGCACAGTCATATCATTTGATTACCAACCCACCTCTTTGTAAAAAATAAAATCTTTACAACCATAAACCATCATGATTTCCAGTTTTTTAAATTTTGCTACACCTCCCTTTATTTCTAACACCTCCAAACTGATGTACTCACTCTTACCTGAAAACCTCAATCTACACCGTATTTTTCTAAGATTGAGTTTTTATTTCATTCCAGCCCTACACCAAAATCTTTAATGCCTACACTACAAAAACCAGCCTTATTAATAAGATATTTGACCTTCCAATCCTAAGCTATCTTCTACCACCTTCCTGTTCTTTTCTTCATTATGCTTTTGTCACACTGGCCAATAGTTTCCCAAAACCTTTTCCTTCATGCCTCAATTATGCTCTTCCCTTTTCTTTTTTCTTTTTTGGGTCAGGGTCTCACTCTGTAGCCTGGGCTGTAGTTAAGTGGCATGACAATGACTCACCACAGTCTCAACCTCCTGGGCTCAGGCAATCCTTCCACCCCAGCCTCCTGAGTAGCCGGAACCACAGACATGCGCTCCCACACACCAGGTTTATTTTTCTGAATTTTTTGTAGAAACGAGGTCTTGCTATTTTGCCCAGGCTGGTCTCAAACTCCTGGGCTCAAGTAAGTCTCCCACCTCAGTCTCCCAAAGTGCTTGAATTACAGGTGTGAGCCACAGCATCCAGCCTCTTTCCTTTTCTTATACCTTCCTGTGTACACATTACCCATCCTTTTAGGTCATGGTCAAATGACCCTTCCTACCTGAAATCCTTAACCACCCTGTGCCAACCCAGAAATAACTTCCACTCTTTGTGCTTCCTCACCACAGTGCTTTTCACTCTCAAAGCCCTTGTCATACTCTACTCTCTGCTGTTATGTGACATTGTGTCATAAAGCACAGATTATAGTTATTATGGAACAGTCATCATTCTTGCTTCCCTGATTCCTCTCTTTGATGACTATCTGTGTGAAGAGAGGGAGGCAAAAGAAATCTTGCTGAGAAGTGTGTGTCAAAAATTTGTTACACGTGCTTCACATTAGTTTTCTCATCAAAAGAAGCATCTTGCTTCAGTGTTGGGAAATGCCTTAGTCATGCACACATAGAGTTGTATACTGACTTTCTCATTCAGTATGTAATAGTCATATGTCATATTATGTGCCTTACTGACCATACCTGATAGAGAATGTCTTGGAATCAGGAGCATGTCAGGCTCAATCGAACACAACAATTATGTGCCAAACACCAGTGTGTACCAGAACTTTCACAAGGCACAAGGGTACAAACAAGAACAAAGACCTATTTTTACACCCGGGACACTTTCAGTCTGGTA